CCCGACGGGATACCCCCACGCTACAGGGAAGATCTGATACGGCAGATACAATGCATGAATGTACCAGTACAAAATCCCTAAAAGACTTGGATACATAGTAAAGAGGAATGAGGCGGAGCAAAGCTACGTATGTTGTATGTACTCCGTACAATCTTGTAGATTTTCAAGCGGAGTCCGAAGAGGATTCTCCGGAGAAGATCGGCCCTAACAGACTGGCCCACTGTGAAACTCCATCTCCGTCCAGAAACCATATGTAATATTATTATTACTTGGCCCCTCGTTTCTTTTTTTTTTTTCAGGCTTCCATATTTTCTCCCTCATTTCTGGCCCTGTCAACAAACGGGTCCTTCTAATACTATTCTCTTAATTTTGCATTTGCGCGTTCATTGGCGACAGGCTGTCGTCAAATGAACCTGCACTTTCGCTATTACCTTGAGTGCAAGGTATGCCCTGGAGAGCACGTGAGAATGAATCTTTGACCAACACTGACTTTTTGCCCAGCATTGCCTCTTTGTTCTAAAGAGGTTCCCCATCAGATAAATGGTTTTCAAGCCATTCACCCACCTCGCGCGCCAGAGTTTCACCAAAGCCTTTACTCATGGCTACGCTCAGTCCGTAGTCGCCGCGTCGCAGTCGTACGCGTCGACCACCCCCTTTTAACCAGCTCGCCGCCCAACCCGCCAAATTCTCCCGCACAACCCAATTGCAGAATGCTTTCTCCAATGCGTCCAGTTCATCTGGTGCTGGTGCCAAGACAAGCCAGGGAGGATCTGGAAATGGAGATCTCGGTCTTGCTGCCTATTATGCCGCATGGCAGAACGCCCAGCAGACCGGTGATGACAGTGACTGGACCCAGTTTGAGTTCAAGCGCCGTATTGGCTGGAAGCCATCAGTGGAGGAGGCCGACAACGTCAACGAAGACCGGGCTGCGTCCGATCTAACTCCCCCTCACCCTACCAAGGCTGCCGTGAACGAGGATGTTAGTGCCCAAGTGGAGGCCGCCGTGGCACGTGAGATTCAGATCCAGGAGGAGCAGGCACAGGCCGAGGAGGCTGCGCTGGGGACAGAAGCGAGGGTTGAACCCACTGTCGAGGAGGTTGCTGTTTCGGAAGGGGTCTCTGAGGCCACTCAGATTGCATCGGATCGCGTTGTGCAACTGGTCAGCTCGAAGAACTTTGCTGAAATCCCCGCTGCATTCGAGACTCTGCTCCGAGACGGATTTACTCCGACTGTCGGCGCGTATAATGCCCTGCTGCTCGCTGCCATTCGTCTTCACCCTGATGCAGCTCAGGCCATCCCCAAGGCTCTCGATGTCTACTCTGACATGCTTCGTCGAAGGGTAATTCCCGATGAAGATACCTATGAGACTCTTGTTCAGCTTCTGGTCACACGGGCTCACGACATCATCAAGGCCAAGGAGGCATTGGAGCAGGAACGGGTTCGATTCGGTGGTATGGAAGAGCCTGGCAAGTTCATGCTTCAGTCGAGTGAACTAGAGCGGGATCTTCTCGCCGAGGATACTTCCCTGTCTATCGCTGTCAAGCTCTTTGATACCGCCACAGCCCGACACGACCGACTTGTGTTCCCGCTTGAGATGTACCGTCACCTTATCATTGCCTGTGCCAAGGAAGGTAAGGTGGAGGATATGATCCGGATTTACGCCCATATGGAATCACAGAAGATGACTCCGCATGCCACCATCTTCCCATCTATGATCACCGCATTTGCTTCCACTGGTGATCTCAAGAGTGCCGTTGAATGTTATAACGAGTACCGAGGGCTCGCTGTCTCCGATGACAGCGGCATCTTCAGTATCGTTCAGCGCCAGGATGGTCAGGTCTATGCGGCTTTGATCCGCGCGTACCTCTCCTGTGGTAAAGAAGAGGGTGCTATCCAGTTCCTGGATCGCATTCGTTCTTCGTTCGACGAGGTAATCGAAGGTCGCCAGGACCGATGGTCTGCAGTGGAAGCTGTAATTATCGAGGATGCACTTGTGCAGCACTCGCTCAACGCGGGAGATTATAGCAAGGCATTGGAGCAAGCCAAGAATCAGTTGCATGATGAAGCTCGGAATCAGGCCATTTCTCGCATCTGTATTGCTGCGGCCGATGCGGGTGATCTCCCCACCGCTTCTGAGGCTTACGATAGTCTGCCCACCGCACCTGACGTACGACAGAACCCAGCGATTTCGCTGATGGCCCTTCAAGTCCGCCGGGGCGATGTTTCGGCTGCCCGTTCCTTGTGGATCATGCTGAACACGGTGGGTCAGGCAACCCCGGATCTGGTCCAGCCGACGGCTATGTACACGGTCGCTCTCCTCAAGAGTGGAAATGTCGAGGAAGGTCTTCACCAGGCCCGCCACATGTTCAAGCGTATCCGCAGCGCTGCCCAAGATCAACCCGCTGCCGTCGCCAACCCCATCAGAGAACAGATTACCGAGTCACTCCATCTCTTTGGTCGCGTCCTCATGGAGTCGACCGCGGTTCTCTCCCCTCAGTCATCCATGACACTATTGTGGTCCATGATAGAGAACGGCGGTCTAGTGTCTCCTTTGGCTGAGCATGCTGTCGCTAACCTTGGCCCCATCGGTATCTCCCAGCTCAAGGCTGCCGACCTCACCCTGGCACTCCAAGTCCAGGCTGGCATGCTGGTCAGCAGCGGTTCTATGCTGTTTGATGTCGCTCATCCCGTTCGCTTTGCGCACATGCTTGACGTCGCTCTGTCTTCTGCCCTTCCTCTGGACCTCTACACCACTGGCCTCGTCGACCAGGCCGTTGCGAAGCTCTTTGTCAATCGCCCTGATGTCGTGAAGAAGTGGCAGGATTATCTGGAGTCTGGCTCCCAGACCTCCGTTTCGCCTTCTCAGATGTTCCTTTCATCTGAACGTCAAAGCCCTGTCTCTATGGCGGAGACCTCGATCACCACTCCGTCTGCGGCTCCCGAATCGTTTGATCCTTACGCTCACGCAACCGACTTCCGCGGATCCGCCATCATTGCTGAGGAGCTTGAGAAGACTAGCGGACGCGCCGAGACTCACCTCAATGACGCTCTGACTCGTCTGAACAACATGCGCCGCATCGGTCGTCACCCGCGCTACATCACCTACGCTAAGCTGATTACCGCCGCGGCCAAGGCTGGTCGCATGACCCTGGCTCACGACATCCATAACATGGCACGGACTGATGTTCCCCTCGATATGAACTTCAGCGTTGTCAAATACGGCTGGGTCTCCATTCTTGATGCCATGGTTGCTGCTTGCCTCACCCTTGGCGACCGCAAGCTGGCTGCTCAGTACCACCAGGAGCTTCTCACTCTCGGTTCCGCACCCTCGGCCAACACTTTCGGCTTGTACATCACCACCCTCAAGGAGTCTACCAAGACCTTCGACGAGGCTACTGAGGCCCTCAAGGTCTTCCACCGTGCCGTGGCTGAAGGCGTGGAGCCCACTTCCTTCCTGTACAACGCGCTGATCGGCAAGCTGGGCAAGGCCCGCCGCATTGACGACTGCCTTGCGTACTTCGCCGAGATGCGTGCCAACAACGTGCGCCCGACAAGTGTTACCTACGGAACCATTGTGAATGCTCTCTGCCGTGTGAGCGACGAGCGCTTCGCCGAGGAGATGTTCGAAGAGATGGAGTCCATGCCCAACTACAAGCCGCGCCCGGCGCCTTACAACTCCATGATCCAGTACTTCCTCAACACCAAGCGCGACATCAGCAAAGTTCTGGCCTACTACGAGCGCATGCAGACACGCAACATCCAGCCCACCCTCCACACCTACAAGCTTCTCATTGATGCACACGCTTCCTTGGAACCAGTGAACATGGCCGCCGCCGAAGCCGTGCTGGAATCCATGAAGGCCGCAGGCCACCAGCCGGATGCCGTGCACTACGCCTCGCTAGTGCACGCCAAGGGCTGCGTCCTGCACGACCTCGCTGGTGCGCGCGAAGTCTTCGACACCGTAATCTCCGACCACCGTGTGCGCCTCCAGCCATGCCTCTACCAAGCCCTTTTCGAGTCAATGGTTGCCAACCACCGCGTCACCGACACCGAGGAGGTCGTCCAGAACATGCTCGCACGCAAGGTCGAGATGACCGCCTACATCGCCAACACGCTGATCCACGGCTGGGCCGCCGAGGGTAACGTTACCAAGGCCAAGGCCATCTACGACAGCATCGGCATTCAGAAGCGAGAGCCCAGCACCTACGAAGCGATGACCCGCGCGTTCCTGAGCGCCGATGATCGTACCAGTGCCGCCACCATTGTCCAGGAGATGATGTCGCGCGGATACCCTTCTGCGGTGGCTGGCAAGATCGTCGATCTCATCGGTGGAGCTTCCTCGTCTCTCTAATTTCTCTTGACTATAATTGTGACCAGGTGATACCCGTTTAATGTTTGCCTACAATCTCTCTGCCAGGGCTGGATCCCTGTGTTGGGATATTCCCGGTTCGGCGTCTGCAGGGCGGCAGTTGGATATACCTGGTGGGATATCTATTCTTTGTTATTGATTCATATTTTGGCATCCAGCGAAGGTTCGGAGTTTATTTTGGCGATCAAAAAGGGCGTGCATTGAAGCACTGTATACCATTGTTATTTTTTTGTCTATAGACACATCTCAACTCTCACACAGCGTTTTAGACGCAAAAATCAAAATGAAAAAAAGTGAATGAGTATAATATGTCCTCTAGTTTTTTCTAGTCTTAATCTTCTTATTCTTATACCTATACATCATTCTCCGAGGAAATGGCATGACGTCTCGGAACTTCCCGCTAAAACCAAAACATCCATTTTATATTCCTAGAGCGTCCAGCTTGGACTTTTACCTCTTCAAATCTCCAGCAATTGAGGTTTTGCACTCATTCCATCCACTCATTGTTTTAATGCAGACTCGTTTGCCCTTCACTGTCCGTTCAGCAGTTGACTCATTCCTCCGATTTCCCCGCCAACCCCGCCAACTTCGATATTCCTCAACCAACCAACCTAGCAATAGCAAACCAGCAATGGACCAGAACGAACACCAGGCAGATGCCCACCGGCGTCCGAAGAAACTAATCTGTAAGTCTAGTCTACATGTCAAGCCATCCCTCTACACACAGATCCGACCAAACGTCCCCCATACAAACCTCAAGCTAAAACACCACTCCGGAAGTCGCACCAGGCGACATTGCACCAACCTCCACCGAGCCCACCCCAGAACCCCAGCCCCAAGCAGCCATAGACCAAACCGCGGAAGCCCTCCGCACCTCAACCTCAACGCCAAACTCGACAACGGAAACCGAAGTCCTCTCGCACGCCGCGCGCGCACACCAATTCGGCGCAAACCCACCCCTAACAGTCTCCCAAATCCACGGCACAAACCCACTCCACCAATTCAACACCTGGTTCCACGACCCGCGACTCCCAGCCTCCTCCGCCCCAGAAACATGCACTCTATCAACAGCCTCCCTACCCTCCGGCCGCGTCAGCGCACGCGTCGTCTACCTAAAAGAACTCGACGAGCGCGGCTGGGTCGTCTACAGCAACTGGGGTAGTCGGGAAGGCAAAGGCGGACAAGTATTCGGGCTCAGCGAGAGCGATACACTCGGCGCCATGCCGGAACCAGACTTAGAGCCAACGGTGACGTCTGATATCGGGTCAGGGAATAAATGGGGCGCGCTGACGTTTAGCTGGGCGACTGTTGAGCGGCAGGTTCGTATCGAGGGCTTGCTTGAGCCGCTTAGTCGCGAGGAGAGCGAGATGTATTGGCGGACGCGTGAGCGCGGGAGTCGGATTGGGGGATGGGCGAGTTGGCAGAGTAAGGTCTTGTGGTCTGCGGAGCCGGCGCAGCTGGAGGCGAATCAGCGGAGGAAGAGTGTGGCTAAGTTGCAGGGGGTGTTTGATGGGGACTCGCTTGTTCCGGCGGATATTCATCTGACGGATGTTGAGGATGGGCGGGCGTTGCTAGAGTCGAAGGTTAAGGAGATGGAGGAGAGGTTTGCCGGTGTTGAGGATATCCCCTGCCGCCCTTTTGGGGTGGTGTGAGGCTTGTGCCGGAGTCTGTGGAGTTCTGGCAGGGACGGCGGAGTCGTTTGCATGATCGGTTCCGGTATGTGCGTGTTGAGGGCGAGGGGGAGGGTGCTAAGTGGCGGCTTCAGAGGCTGTCGCCATAGTGGCAGATAGAGATTACTTGCATATATACTGGTATCGTTTGGGCCTCCAATTATACAAGTGCCTCGACCTTGATGTTTCGCGTCGATTATCCATATCAGCCTATCTTATCACTATCACTATCACTATCAGTCTTGGCACGCCAACTCCTTCAACGTCACTCCAAAATTCTTAGCCCTTGAATTCTACGCTACTTGGATATAGCCTGCAATCCCATATAAGAAAGAGTCTGATATACAACCGGGTATACAGTTATTTCTGAACAGCCATGTCTGCCTCAACGCCCCAGTCAATCCCTCAATCCTCCACATCCCCCTGGATTATCCTCGCAATCACGAGCGGCGCCTTCGCTGCATTGAACGGTGTTTTCGCGAAATTGTACGTGAACCATTCTATAACTCAAGGAACAATCCCACCTATACATATATAAGCTATGTATAAGCTCTAAACTATAAGCCACAAGCTATATGCGTGTAACGTTAACGTTCCACAGAACCACAGACAACCACACAACGGCCTTTGCGCAATCCCTCGCCCACCTCTTCGGTCTGGACTCATCGCCTGTGATTGAGATGCTTACTCGAGGGGTATGTTTACACATTTTCTCTTTGTATCTGGACTATACATATCCCCCAAGCCCGAGCCCAAATATTATCCGTCTACTACAACATACATGTATAACTGTGTGCTGTATTAGTTCTGTTTTTGCTATAACTAATAATATTTACAGGCCTGTCTTGGTCTAAACGTCCTCTGCAACGTAATAATGTGGGCGCTTTTCACACGCGCGCTAACAGCCGGCCCGTCGACGGTCAAAGTCTCCATCACGAATACGGCGTCGAACTTCTTGGCGACGGCGCTGTTTGGGATGATTGTTTTTCAGGAGGCTGTTGGCGGGCTTTGGTGGTTGGGGGCTGCGATGATGGGGGCTGGGTGTATTTTGGTTGGGATGCGCGAGGGGGCTTAGCTTTTGGATAGGTTGGAGGTTGGAGGTGTTATATAGTTACTTGGATCTATAATCGGTCTATAATTTATCTAGAAATTTTGGATATGTTGATGGACTTGGAGATTTGGGTTTGGCTTCAATGATACTTGTACGGATGGAGTATGCGGGTTTGTAGATTGGTCCATAGATTTGGATGTTTCTTAATATTTGGTCCTGTGTCTTGTCCATACTGACAGACTAAAACTAGTTCACTAATCTTAAGACTTGCTAAAGGAAACGGTTGGAGCTATGACGATAGGTGCGCAGTATCATCCGTATAGCGGGCATCCGTAATACACATGATACACAAGTAAAGTGTCAATCTCCACTCCTCAAAGACCCTTTCGCAATCTTCCAGCACATTTAAACCAAGGGTTTGCCCCTGGCGGAAGGAAGACAGCCATGTCCAATCGCTCTTCCGGGTAACTCCTGCATATCCCAACAGGAAATCTCGAATCCTTTGCAAAAAGCCATCCGAGATGTGAAAAAGCTTCCGATTCATGACTGCTCCTTGAACATTTCGGGTTGTGCGTGCTTTCCGGCATTTTTCGTAGAGAGCTAAAACAGCAGCTGTGAGATCTTGAGCTGAAGATCGCATCGAGATTGATGGGTCGCTTCCAGAGTTTCTAGGATCCAGATAATGAACCTGCAATAGGCCAAGAAGCTTGCCGATGATTGCTCCGTCTTCGACAGCCATCGCAGCCCCTTGTGCCTGATATGGCAGAGTGGGGTGGCAGGCATCACCAAGTAAAGCAACAGATCCCTAACGAGTCCTAGTTAGCGAGTTAGTGATTGGAAGCACATAGTGATATACCGACCTTGGTCCACGATTCTAGCTCGGAGAGATGTGTCAATTTCCATTTGTATACCGATGGAACACAGGAAACCAGCTTTTGCAATCTAGAATAGCGAGAAACGTATTAGTGGGCAATTGGAGTTGACTATTCCAGCGCTTCTTACGTTTCGTCCCAGTCGGCATAGCTCTCTCGCATCTCCTCAATATCTCCCTGCTCTCTACGAGAGTCCAAAGATAAGTTATCGGGCCTCATGAGAACAAGATTGAACTCCTTTCCATCACGGAGAGGGTAGAAAATAGTATGCTTCTCCGGTCCTAGCCAGCTTGTGACCGCAGTTTTCTGACATAGTTCATTTACTTTTTGATCTCCCAATGCCTCAAGCTGCTCTCGTGAAAAGGTTGCTCGGTAGGCCATGTCGCCCGTTGGCACTGGAGAATCAGGGGATCCAAGTACGGCCTTTCGGACCGTGGACATTTGGCCTTTGCTTGTCAGATATACTCAAATATATAGCCGACGAAAGATATGTTAACGTACCGTCCGCGCCAACTACAACATCTGCCGATATGCATCTCCCATCGGCGAGAAGAACGGCTGGCTGCTCTGTGTAAATATCCTCTACTTCTGCCCCCAGTTGAAGGACCGCACCAAGTCGGATTGCTTCATCAAGAAGGATGCGATGATAGTCCACCCGATGAATAATTCTGCACAGGGGTAAAGTCCGTAAACACCAGGGGCAGGCTAAATCACGCACATCCACGGCACCCCGAACTCCTCCGTGATATCGTCCCCAAATGGCATTGATCGCAGAAGACGACCATCCTTGTACCTCCGAAAATCTACGTGTTGCACCTGGCTTCCTTGCTCCAGTAGTTGGGGAAGTAGGCCAAATTCGCGCATTATCCTACCGCCATTTGGTGGGATTTGGATGCCTGCTCCAACTTCGTGGACTTGGTCGGACCGCTCGAGGATTTCCACGTCAATACCTTCGCGACGACAAGCAATTGCACAGGCTAGGCCGCCTAGGCCGCCGCCGACAACGATAACCTTCATGATCTCTGTTGATGTCAAAGTGATGTTCCTTCGACTGCGTTGGGTTCCAAATTAGGACTAGTGGGGGTTTTGATTGTGACCACCGTGCAGCCTCGTATGCAGACAATATATCTAATCCGTGGATGTGTAGGACTTCAGGTTTAGTCCAAGGGTGACACACTCAATATGCTGTGTCATAATACTTGATTGAGCTTGTCAATTCGGAGATGGAAGTCATATATTTTGATGGAGTTGTGGACTTGGGGGAAAACAACCCGGTGTTACCCTGGATACAGCCACATGTAATATCAAGGACACGACCAGAGACATCAAGCAATTAACGCAAGCTAATCTGTTGTGTGTTTTTATTTGGAAAGTGGCCTGGACACAGAGTGTGACAGCACGTGACTGGGCGATTTCCCTACGAGCAGCCCATCTCGGGTTCTTTCACTAGACAACTCTTCCCGCCAATATCTGGGGACAAACATAATGCAATTATTCACTTGGCCTCGGTCACATCTTCTCGAGATTGGCGACCAAAATTGGTGCCCGTCGTGGCTTCACCGGCACGAGCAACTGGTTCTCACCCAGCTGTGGAATCTTCGAATTCCCGGGTGGAGCCATGGAAACCTTGCGAAACAGGCATGTGCAGTGTTCAAAGGGCACCTGGAAGATCTTTCCTCGTACACAGTTCTGGACATATGCGCTGGTGCTGGTGGGCCTACCCCTGTCCTCGAATCAGAGCTCAATAAAGAACTCGAGTCCGAAGGCAAGGGCCCTGTTCAGTTTGTCTTGAGCGATCTTTATCCTCATATTGAAGAGTGGGAGCGAATATCGAAGAAACAGCAGAATGTCACATATATCGAAAGCCCGGTGGATGCTCGGGCTGTTCCTCGAGTTGCAGCAAGTTCGAGAAAAGGAGTGCCGCATCTTCAATATCTGTTTCCACCATTTTGGAGATGAAGATGCAGCGGGAATTCTGAAAAGCGCAATCGAGACTGCTGACTCGTTTATGCAAGTTGTTGTTCCGTTAATACCATTTGTTCCATAAGCTAATTCGATTCCCTGCAGCATATTCGAAGTCACATCACGCGATATTTGGACTTGTCTATGCTCGCCATTGGTCTTCTTTTGGACTTTCGTTGTAACTCTTGTTTGGTACTGGGGTTCGCCAATCCATCTCTTTTTTACGTTCATTCTACCCGTGGCACCTCTGACTACCTTCATTGATGGGCTGATATCCTGTCTCCGAACCCGCACCGCAAAGGAAACCTGGCAGCTACTGGATCAGCCAGATCTTGACCTCACCAACTGGACCTTTCACAGTGGGAAAAAGACTGTTCAGTTTCCTTTCATCACTTTATATTACCACATTGGCATTAAATCATAACAGGGAAATTGTTGTGTTCATCTAGCTTTCTTTATACTATTTTCCCCTGAACATCTGCCTGACAACCCAGGCCTTTGTCCAAATTGCCCTATATATACCTTAATATACCCTCTATTTTTTGTCTTTTATTCCGCCTTATTTTATTACCAGCTGCTATGTGTTATTATTACCCTATGTCATAGTTTGGTAATGGAGCTATATACATATAGTTAGACCCATGTGATTATGATGCCGAATATACCGAAAGAGGCAGCGGCCTTAGTCCATGTTTCGCTTTTATACTGCCTTTCCTCAAGAGACCGTCGAGTTCCCGAAATAGGACCGGAGCTTAGATCGTTATATACCTCCCACTGTCCTGCAACTATCCTTCATTTTTCTTCCAATTCTCTATTCACGTTTATCCAACACAATATCATATCCTTTCATCCAGCTCACTATCATTCTCTTTCATACCACCACCTTTCCAACTATTATCAAATCCACTACTCGTCCGTTCAGTATGGACACCCGCATATCCCACGTTCCAGGTATCCACAGTCTCCCAGTTGAGCTGCTGGCAGACATCGCCAAATTTACCGAGTCTCCTGCTCTAAGCGCTTTTCGGCTCACCTGCCGAGCGATGTACCAGAGTAGCCTTCATCATTTCGCACAGACTTTTGTACACACATTAAAGACCGACCTTTCACCGAAGTCACTTTCGCGGGTCAAGGAAGCAGCCAACGATGAAATATTTTGCCCTTGTGTCCGCAAATTAGAAATCGTCAGAAATTCGAAAGGTTGCCTGGGACCACTATCCCCCGATATCACCTCAAAAGGAACATATATCCAAGCGTGGCGCGATGTGATGAAACGCTTAGTGAACTGCCAATCTTTCGAGCTGCGCAATTCAACCTATACAATACCGAAAACCGGTGACGATGGCATCACGCTTGACGAAGCCACTGGTCTTATTCTCGAAGCCATAGCTACCGAGCACATTCCGATGGAATCTTTCTCAATCAACATTATGAAATACAGAAGCAGAGCCCACCAGGATAACCTAACGCAATTTGGTATCACCACTTTCGGGATCCCGGCCTTTTCCCATCTCAAGGAACTGAGCCTTGCAGTCCCGGATGCCGAGTCTGGGACTATTGATTGGATGGCGAAAACGATCCAATGTGCCAAATCTCTCAAAAAGCTGACGATAATTTTCAGCTACAAGTGCAAATCGACGTCACTTCTCTCCCAGCTTTCGTCGGCTGGGTGCTTGCCGGAACTTGAAGAATTGACTTTCTCACGTATGTCATTGGAATCTTCGGCTGCTTTGGCCATCTTCCTTTACAGTATTCAAAGTTCTCTTCGTCGTGTGACTTTTTCTTTTGTGCAACTCGAGTTTGGAGGCTGGCGGTCTATTCTCCGCGAGTTGAGTGGAGGTGTTTCTCAGCTTGACAGTGTGAATCTGCATAGTGTACTTGAAGTGGATAAGCCCCTGAGCTTTTGGAGGATCCCAGAATACCAACTTGCAAAAACGTCTCTAGACAAGAGACTATATCGTCCATTTCAATTGTGTTTTATTGACAAGGAGGACCTGGACTTCAGCTACTCGGGTCCGGCTTTACAACAGGTTTTACAGAAAGTGGCTGCATTTGCAGAGTTAGCCTAGGATGAGTCGGTTGGACCTTTTGTTTTGGTCTTACAGCAATGTAAATAATTACAGTCAACCCAACTATATCAATACCCTTGATTCTATGGAGTAAAAGAGCTCTTTTATGTTCTATGTTAGTAGTAACCTACCTACTACATACGAGCCATGCCTAACTAATATACATCTCAGTTGAGCTTCAAAGCATTGATAATCCGCGGGAAGATTGTCAAGGCATTCAGATTATTGATCTTGCCCATCTCCCCCCTGGTAAAGTTACCATTACCCTCAATCGCAGCTAATCCCGACGACGCCTGTGAGACAGGAACATATGGATCTGCAAGCGTTAGTATACTGCAGCCGCACATTCCGGGTTGATACCAGCACTGCCACTTACAGTCCGTTCCAGTCACGATCTGATCCGCGCCAACGAAGCTCTTCAGAGCCGTCAGCTGAATAGCAGAAGTCGAGGCAGCGGTATCAAAATAATATCCGGCGAGTTGCACAAGGGATTCAGGGACAGACAGTCCACCCAACCAGGGAAGGGAGGCCATCCCGGCGATTCGGGAGGCCAAGTAGGGGATTGCGCCACCGCCGTGGGTGAAGATCATCTTGATGTCCGGATATTGCGCACGTCGACCCGTCAACAGCATGCTCTCAAGCGCACGCACAGTGTCGAAAGGATACTCGGTCATCGGGATGGGCCAGCCCCCGGCGACAGATGTGCAATCCGGAGCGGCTGGGTGAACAAGCGCGCTGGCGTTGCGTGCGTCCAAGCCAGAGAAGATAGGGTCAAAGGATTTGTCGCCCAAATATGTTCCATTGGCGTTGGTGAACAGCCCCACGCCAACGAACCCGAGGGTATCCAGGCAGAACTACGAATTTCGAGTTAGGTTTGACCAGGCTGATTTACTGGGGGGGTGATGGTACCTTCAACTCCTCAACGGCTTCATCAACGTAAGGGAGAGGGAGAAGACAGAGGGCTCCAAGTCGAGTCGGGTGAGTTCCAGTGTAGTTATGAAGCTGGAGGTTGATGCTGCGGGCTAGTGACTTGGCCTTTTGGGCTTCCTTTAGGAAGAAGACGCCGGGCGCGCTGACACTAATCGTCGAGTAATTAACTCCAAGGCTATCCATGGTGCTAATATGCCCGTCCAGTGTCCAATCTGCGACAGGGAAGCCATCTGTGTACAAAGTACCATTCTTGACTGGGAAGCCTGCAGAGATCAACTCCTCCCTCCAGATAGACGGAACGACATGGGAATGAACGTCGATCTTATAGTTTGAGCCGAGGGAATCTGCGATGCAATGGCCGCTAGCCAAGCATGCCAGAGGAATTCCTAGCAGGAGCTTCTGCAAAAGAGAAGGCATCGGAGTAATTCGAACGTTGGAACTGTGACAGGACGAAACAGAAAAGTTAAAACAAAAAGGTCCGAGAGGGTAGTAAATTGATTTTCACGAGGCTTATAACTTTTATTATTATCCTGACTAGTAGTACACGCGTGGAAGCTTGGATCCACCCTACCAAGTGCCTACTACCAATGTGGATTAGAGAATATTACTAGCACGTTTTTGTAGATATACTCCGTAGAATCGAACCGAGGGAACGGATGGTTAGGGATGCTATCCTGAATGCAGCTATGAACCCATTCGGTACTCGGTACTCCGTGGGGTAAAACATTGAAGCGCAGGTTAGGGCTATTAACGACTTGGTGATGGTGTCGATATTAGCGTCTTTGTTCAAACCATTCCACAAGGGCATTCGCTGCCTACATTCTGGTTCTCCACTGAGGTGAAATGCAGGATCTATGCTCAACATCCGCTAAAAAAAAAAACCTTCACCAATAGGCCAATCTCTACTTCGATGTCGGAGGTGAAATCAAGATACCCGATCTCTGCCAAGCCGGACAGCTCCAAAAGCCGAGGAGCCGACTGGCCCGTTTAGGTATTGCTTCGTACGGAGCAGTCCGTAGCAATATGGCGATTTAATCAATCCTGCCATATTTGGGGCCATCCGGAAGTATTTTCTGTCTTGGCAATACTGATTGTCTCAGTCCGGTAGAAGAAATCATGGAGCATGCAAGGCACTGCGATGGCTATACATATGCACCAATATATATCCAATCATGTCATATAGCTTCTGTTAGTGCGGTCTATATGCGGGTTTCAGTTCGCGGATACTCGACAAAAGTGATCGGGGCTTCTCGATAGAATGTATTTAACCTTAGAGAACGTTGGGAAGATATGTAAGCGGAGATTCGGACCCTTTCTCGAGTATCCCCGAACTGGCTGTTAAGATAGTTAAGACATTGACCCAAAATAGTATAATATATTGAGTTTATTTCCTTCCAATTTTCCCAAGGTTTTAGACAGAGCCTTTGTATATTAATTGGGGCAGGACTTATCGTCATTCCATTAAAATAGCTACTGCACCTATTGGCCGATACAATTTAGCTGGGGAAAAGTCTTTACCAATTTCCTGTAATCAAAATTATTTAATATGGAACCTCTATAGTGGTTCCGTTCGTGACCTGTTAGTACTCTGTGCCGCAATATCGACCTATTATGGACGCATCTCTTCAACCGCGATCCGATGTGAGTGGAAGGTCTATTCAAAGGCAAAATGGCTTCTCTAGGGCTTTCTCTAACTGTCAATCCAGGTTGAGAACCGTGGGCCTATACTGCTGATCATCAACAGCACGATAACGGGCTTCGCGGCGATCATTGTGGGCCTCCGCGTGATTTCGAGGGTCTTCATAGCGAAAATGTTTGGTCTGGACGACTGGACAATGGTGGCCGCGACGGTTTTCGCAGTCTTGAATGTGGTGCTTGCGGGACTTGGTATGCCTTCAGTTCCCTATGTGACCATGCCATCCCTTATGCCATGAGTAGGAGTCAAGTACGGAACAGGAAAGCACAAATGGGATCTCGTCAAAGCAAACGTGCTACCTTCGTCCAAGGTATTCCGAGAAATGACAACCTAAATCGAAACAAAAGGGCTAACTGATACGAGAAATATAGATTCGATATGTGAATCATATCATTTATAGCCTGATCAGCGGTCTGATCAAGGTATCAATATGTCTGCTATACCTGCGACTGTTCCCTAACATTCGAAGAATCTCCCTTGGAACAATCGCATTCATCACCGCCATGAGTGTCGCATTTATTCTCGCCACCATCTTCCAGTGCTCTCCAGTCGATGCTGTCTACAACAAGGAAAAATATAAACATTATAGGTGCTTTGAATCTATCCCGTTCTGGTATACGACAGCCGCACTGTCTCTGGTAACGGATATTTGGATTCTTGTCTTGCCACTGAAAACAGTTCTAGGTTTGTGGTTACAAATTCACTCTAATTATTCCTCTAATCAAGTACAGGTCTTCATCTCGGAACTAAGAAAAGATTTGTCGTCGTTGGTTTGCTATCATTAGGCTTCTTGTATGTACAGGTGAATTTTGCTTAACATACATGAGTGCTAACTGGGACAAAAGTGCATGTATAGCCAGCGCCGTACGGATGGTCTACATTGTGCAATTATATCAAAGCTCAGACCCGTCTTGGGATACCTTTGGGGTTTCTATTTCGTCGGGCATCGAACTGGCTGTCGCTATCATCGCTGCCAGCATTCCGGCGACCAAGCCGATCGTGAACAAGCTATTTCCAAAGCTATTTCCTAGCACCACTGGCGGATCGCGCTCAGCTAGCCATCCTTCTGGCAGTCGAAGTGAAAGTACTCCGCGTCGCTACCACAGGGATATTATTCCGCTTTCATTTTTCATGGGGAGAGAAGGGAGTGATACGGATGATGAGTCTACAAAAGCAATAGCGCATGCAAGGTGACCATGGTATCTTTGGAAGTGAGCAGGAGAGAGAGCAATAGACTGTATTTGTATGTATGAACAGGATTCGGGGAAAAAGAAGGACTACTACAACGAGGTCATCAGACATCATCAACGAACACCTTGTACATAAAAACTTATGCCGCATTTAGGCCATCCATAGGCACCTCTCTATGACCTATATCCGTCCCGTGATGTCCGATGGATGGGCCGTGCCGAGATCTACTAGAGGGACCAAAGGAGTGTTTATATTTTCCTTTGGAGCAGCTGGGAGAATGTGAAATTTCATCTAGATGTAAGATAAGAAACCCAAGCTTAGAACAAGCGAATCAGTCAACATTCAAGCTTCCAAACTGAACTTGCACACCCTCCGTTTGTCCGAGAGCGTAGATGCCTATCACTGGACCAGTAAAATCAGGGTTGGTCATATCCAATGTGTCAACTGTTCCCAGGCACGTCCAATCTTGCCCAGTGCTGGACTCGACAGAGTACAACAGTCGATATTCTTTCTCCGTGTAGTCCATTCGGAACGCCACTGAGAGGGGAACTTCCCCTAGGATGTGTTTCTCGATTCTTGCAATCTTCTTCGCGGCGTTGACTAATTCGAAGACCACCTCAAGTTTCGCAGCATCATAGTAGATCCGTACGTAGCGGTGCTCTTCCTTGTAACAGGCTAGTCCAGCCATGATCTTCGCAGAGCCCCAAGACTCCTCAATCCCTTGAAGGACCACGCTGCTCGTGCCGTGCAACTTTCGTTGCCGCTTGCCAATAAACGTCGGGCTAAGTTCAGGGTGTGACAAATCGACCGATGACGCCGTCAGTGTCACGGAGGCTTCGGTGAGCTGGTAGTTGCCCATGACGGCATCTCGAATGTAGAGGTGGTCAACGCCAGGTTTTGCCGTAAGGTTTGAACTCGACCGGGCTTCCGGGAGGCTGGGATTCAACTTCACTTGCTCGAAGGTAAACCATTCGTTGTCCCAGGCTACCTTGGTCAAAAAAGGTTTCCCGACCCATGGTGCATCGGCCCTGGTTGTCAACGCGTGCCCCGATACAGGTCCCCCACCATTGATTCTTCTCGTCCTGGAAGATATCGCAATGACCGGTGTACTGGATATACTCTGCTGTACCACGCGCCGTTAAGACCGGATTGTTAGGACAGGACTCGTATGGGCCCGAGACGTGTCTAGAGCGCGCCATCGTCACCATATGTCCCTCATGGGTGCCGCCCTCCGCAATGAGCAAGTAGTACCAGTTATTGTACTTATACAGATGCGGTCCTTCCGGATAGATGTCGCCAGTGCCGCGCCAGATGACTTTCTCCTCGGACAGCTTGGCGCCGGTATTGAGGTTGACTTCGAAGAGATTGATCGTCGTGTACGGCCCTGGCGCAGCGGACCCTTGGATGTAGGTCTTTCCGTCGTCGTCGAAAAGTATACTGGGGTCGATGCCATCGAATTCGAAGTAGATTGGGTTGGTCCATATGTCCGACCAGATATTATCGGTCGAGACGATGAAATTCTCCGTTAGGTCTTTTTCTTCGCCGGGCAAGTGGATGACATTGGTGCAGACGACGTAGAATGTACCCTGGTGATAACGGATCGTGGGTGCGTATAACCCTCCACTAGCGATCATAACTTTACCATTGTCCACCGGAACGAGGTTTGCATCCGATCTTGCTAGGCTGAGCTGGGCTTGACGGTTGATTGCATTTCCTGTGGCTCCAGGTCAAAATCTTCGATCAAATCCCTCGTTCACCGTCCGGCCAGTGGACTTACCTATCTGCTGCCATGATATGAGGTCTTTAGAGGCGTAAATGGGAAGGCCGGGGAAAAAGTGAAAACTGGAGTTGATGAGATAAAACCAGTCGCCAACTTTTACCACGGATGGATCTGGCGCGTAACCTGGTATGATAGGGTTGACTGTATCTGGCATAATTGGCTTGTTCAAGGAATACTAATGAAGATGGAGGGAACTGAGACTTGGTAGCCCATGGCATTCCCCCGCTTGCCAGCCAAACATTAAATATTATCTTTTGGCGCGTGAGGTCAAGTTGCGTACGACATTAGCCAAGATTCAGAAAATAGAATAGGCTGTACAATGGCCACCAAGCATGGCCAAGCACGCTTATAGGCTAAATTGGGGAATACAACAAAGGATCTAGTCACAAGATCTCCCCTGTAAGCGTCTCAAAGAGCCAAGATACATAGATGGCAGTCCTTGGCAGTACTTGGCCTCAGACATATAGACCGCTCGGGCCCCTTAGGCCCTCTAGGCCTGGCGTTTACTATGAAGTTCATTTATCCATATCTTATTAGTCTCCGAAGAGCAACTTCCCGGTGGTAGTTTAGCCACAGGACCTAAGGCTACGGTAATCACCCGGATATCCATAGTCTAGCATCATTAGTTAGCTCAAGATGATTTACCTCGTAGCTATGAGCCTCCTTGGACAACCTCGGGAGTAAGCGAACCCCACCTGCCAACATCCCCATGGGGTAATTGTGGGGTTAGAGGTATCGAGCTTCAGAATCACAATTCAACGACGCCACCTTCCGGTAAAATAGAGATATCGCCCTTCATTTCTGATGCTGAGTCGGCGGTAGCATGTCGCGGCAAGCCAAGCTAAACTCTAGAGAATAGCCGGGAAATAATCAAGCGACATACATGTCGCTAAGCCCGTGGTTGCACCGTATAAAGAAGTAGTTTCCCGCTATTGTTCTAGGTTCTCAATTGGCAGCTATCGTTTTGCTCTATCATCAGTATTCTGAATTAAATATTTTCCTTATTCCCTTCAAGGTCAAGCTTCGTAGTCATGGCGTTGCGATTCCGGGCCCCGAAGCAGTCTCAACGGGTTATGCCCGTTAAGCCCACCAAGGGCCACTTCTTCTTCGCCCACAAGGAGTTCGAGCGCGTTCCCTGGTGGAAGAGAAAGAACATGCGCACCCTGTACATCTACATCGTCATCCTCATTCTGACCAACACCGCAAACGGGTTCGATGGCTCCATGATGAACGGTCTTCAAACTCTCTCCTACTGGCAGGAATACTTCGACCATCCGCGCGGTGCCCTTCTCGGTCTCTTTAATGCGTCCATGAGTCTTGGCTCACTGATCGGTCTGTTCATCGTGCCTTATATGATTGATGCTTTCGGCCGCAGGCTCGGCTGTTTTGTTGGATGCCTCATTATGTTACTTGCCGTGGGTCTGCAATCTGGCGCCACTGGTTTTGGGATGTTCGTCGCTGCCCGTTTGCTCATTGGATTTGGGGACTGTATCGTTCTTGGCAGCGCCCCTCTCTTGATCGCCGAGATAGCACATCCCCAAGATCGTGCCGTTCTCGTCACGCTCAGTGGTGCTTCTTACCATTCCGGTGCGTTCATTGCCAGCTGGGTGACCTTGGGCACTTTGAAGATTGAGGTATGTACTATACCCCACGGTTGCTGTGGATCCGATAATCAATATGGAAACATTTCTTTCGGCTCACATTCTTTTTCCTTTAGAGCGATTGGTCCTGGAGACTTCCAAGCCTGTTGCAGGCTATTTGCACAATCGTCATTGTGTCTGGTATTTGGCTGATGCCAGAGAGCCCTCGTTGGTTGATGAGCAAGGGCAGACACGATGAGGCTATGCAGGTCCTCGTCAAATACCACGGCGAGGGGAACCCGAACGACGAATTTGTGCATCTGGAGTATGCCGAAATCAAGGCCGCCATAAATCTGGACAAGGAGATTAACCAGACTGGTTGGGTTGACTTCTTGAGAACTAAGGGCAACCGGAAGCGAATCGGCCTGATCACCGCCCTGGGCCTCTTCAGTCAGTGGAGTGGCAATGGCCTGATCTCTTACTATCTCAAGTATGTCATGGATAGCGTCGGTATCACAAAGGCCTCCACCCAGCTCGGAATCAACGCTGGCATCAAGAGCGAAGCATTAGTTATGAACTTCCTGCTCGCCTTCTTCATTGATAGATTGGGAAGACGTCCCATCTACATAGTCTCAACAGTTGGTACGTTCCTGGTCTTCAACGCCTGGACCATCGTATCGGCTCGGTATGACATCGCGCCGAATAATGCGTTGGGATACATCTTCGTGGTCCTGACCGTCTTGTATGGTTTCTTTTATGATATCAAGTAAGTACTGATACCTGCCTTTACTGGGTTTGGTTTCTTTTCTGCGGATTTTGCTAACAATTGGATGCTTAAAGATCTGGTCTGATGGCAACTTACACGACTGAGATTCTTCCCTATGGCCTTCGTGCCAAGGGCTTCACCTGGCTGAACTTCTGCGTCACCGCGGCACTCTTCTTTAACCAGTATATCAACGCGATTGCTCTCGATGCAATTGCCTGGAAATATTACATTGCGTACTGTGTATTCCTAGCAATGGAGGTGTGGGTCATCTACAGCTTCCTCATTGAGACACGTTACACCCCTATGGAGGAAATTGCCAAGTACTTCGATGGCGATGATGCGGTTGATCTTGGTGAGATGGCCGTCGCGGATATGAAGGAGCAGGCAAGGGATGCAGGGGGCAAGACAGCTGTCGTCCATGTCGAAGTGAGGGAGTAAAGTCCTATAATCTCCTGTAATCTTTTAATTGATCACAATTTCAATCACCATATATAATCGGACTGGAACACAGTAGGCGCGCTCCTGTGTGCAGTTGTCACTCCTTGTCGGGAGGTCTTTTCTCTCTTACTTAGGCAACAAGAGCGTCGTTTTGTCTTTGGTGCTAAGAATAGGGTGTCCGAGTGAGTTTCGTGCTATCTCGTCCCACTCATCCTGTTATAATAACCCAGACACAGGGCCTGGTCTGAGGCATGATGGATTAGTGAGAATGATATGTTAATATGTTGTTATGTTAGAGAACGTGTGCCTGTAGACCTTGCACCTGCCCGATTTGGTGACTTTTGGTCCAACTGCTTTTGGCTCTTCTTCTTCTCTCACTTCTTCTCTTCCCCTTTACTTCTTCCCCTTTACTTCTTCCCTCTTACTCCTTCCATCTTACTCCTTCCATCTTACTTATTGCTTCTTCATTCTTTCTTTCCTCTCACTTAAGAGAGCTCTTTCTCAAAGGGCCATCATAAGGCTCTCATATGTGCTGCGCCTGATTCAGTGCGATTCGGGGGCCACGGATAAGAGGCATCCTGTGAGTGAAGCCATGATTGTTGAATCATTTTCTTACTTCTGTACTTACAGTCACCTGCTGCCTCTCCGACATTGTCGCCCCAGCCATGGTCCTGCCGGATGCACTTCCAAGAAATGGAAAGGGATATCCATACCATTTAAAGGGAGCTGAATGCCCGGAAAACAAACCTATCTAAGTCTACTATGGAGTGACTACTTCGTAGAGAATGTCCCCGTGCCCGGTCCGAGCAATCTCGATCCATGTATTGACGCCGATCTTACGGTATACAAGTTGTGGTCTGAGGTAGAGACCTTGCCCAATGACGAGTTACACTACCACCCGATTTTCCCTATCGGTCTCCTTCGACTCGGTCCCTAGGGGCATCCCACCACGCGGCTGTGTTTAGCGCACTGCCAATCATTCTTTGGCTGACGACACTATCGCGGAATCCCTACGATCATTCGAGTCAAGATGGGAATTCTTTCGGCAGAAGCCAGCAGAGATGGTCTCCTGGATATTGAGGTGAGCCGCGCAAATAATAGGGTACCGCGACCACTAACCGTCGTCACCACCATGAACAGTCCGGCTAGGGAGACGGACTCAGGGCAGACAAAGTCGGAACTGGAGGTGGGCGAAATACCGCAACTCCCACCGACTCGCCATTGCATATATCGATTCCCTCTGCTCGCAAGCGTTAAACACACCTCCACTTACCACACAAGTCCAAGAGTCGTACTGCGCTGGGGAGGTCGATGTGACCCTCAGCGCGGTCCCTGGATAGCCCAGCCTAGTGGGCGGTGCCCCTATGGTGTTGACTCCCAGGCCTTTTCTGGGGGGCGTTGGGTGTAAAATGTCGAAATTTGCGAGGGAAAGAAAAGAGGTGAAAGGGGGGGTTGTGGTGCCGGGGATGGGGAGACTAGCGATGCTCTGGACCTCCCCAGAGCCAGGAGGGAGGGTTGGCCCTCAATTGTATATAAATCAGCCCGGCCACTTGTAAAACAGCGGCCCAGCAACACATCCAGGATGGTCGATGTGTTGGCTGAGGATGCTCTACGGGGAGACCTCGACTCGAAGCTGCACAAATTATTCCCTGGTCGCTTATCCTCAACTCAACTCAGCTCAACTCAACTCAATTCAACTTTTTCCTCTTCCCACTCCCACTTCCCCAATGGACTGGGGGGGGGTACAAAAGGATCAGAGACATGATCCGCATAACCATCAGAGAACAGATGACAACACTGAAGTCTGATCTCAAAGCTATCATCGAGGAAGGTATTGAAGCTGAGATTACGGCGCTGAACTCCGGGATCAAATCTGCCACTCAGGAAGTCATCAAGTCCGAGCTTCAAGCTTTTGCATCTGGGATGATCTCACAGACCACTGAATCCAAGATGAACCACTACCGTACCACGACAATATCGAATACGATAATGCCGATCGATTCAGATGATACAACAATCGACATCTTCGAAGACACGCATGACACCCCGAATTTGGGCGACCTCCCGGCGCTATTCAATGTTGACGAAAGTCACTCCTCGGTTTTTCCCTTTGCTCTTCTCTTTTCTATCTCTTTCTTCTTCAGATCAAAATAATTCAGCACTAAATATCAAAGCCGTGCTTTAAAAATGCCTTTCTTTTATTTCGATATGGCACGTGCTACCACTGGTGCACTGGGCGAAGGATGAAATCGACACTACAGTGCGTGACCAGGTCTACGAGACCTAAATACGCCGCGTCGATGCTCTTCAGCGAGGAAAGTCATACCTTCCAGGAAATGCGGGCCTAGAACCCGAGCCTTGCAGTGTTGAGCCCGATATAGTAATAGGAATATATAAGTGTTTTCTAACTCACCTTGCTCTTTAGGTCGATCCGGTAGAAGTTAACGTCTACTATCCGTAGAGATAACGTAGACTGTTGTATCGGTCTTCCCCACTCTCTACGGCCGGCGTGAACAAGGCCTAGAAAACCTATTAGCCATTAGTCGGGTCGGCCGCGCAGCATCTTCTCGCGAGGCTTTATCTAGATCATCTTCCAGAAACGGGTCTCGTACCCCCACGACACAGAATTTCCTCTGATGATCCAACCGTCTTCCTTGGGGATCCTAGCACCAAACCGAGTATCATGTCGAGGTATGCGCGGACTAACGCATTGGAGCTTGCAATCGATGGGGAAATGGACGGGCGAGCAACGCTTGGTATTTGGCAATATCTATCTATCAACATAACGTATAAACATAACAACATAGCGATCCCGCTTTTCATGGGATCATCGGCCGATCTTCTCTGTCCTCCAATTCTACCGCCGCATCATCGTCCCTTCCTTCTAGGATATCCGACGGCTCCGATTGTCTCAGGTACAGTGCGGTCACGCGGCCGGACCGGCCGGCCAGAGACCTTACCAGATACAAACCCAGCCACGGTCTGAATGAGCCGCCACAAGCGGTCTTCCAGTGTTTCAGAGGCAGGGGTATTCAGGTGTCCACCAAGCGCACCAAGTTCAGAAGAACTCGTTGCTGCCAGTGTATGTTCCTCGGCTTCGACCTTGAACTGATACTTCAAGCAGTCCTTGACCGTAACCAAGCCGGTGAGTTTGCCGCGGTGCTCGACGAGAATGACACGCGGGCCCATCTTCTTGAAGATCTCCATGACCGTTTCGAGAGGATGACGCGGGTGAACCGTCAGCGGTGTGTGGTCGACGTATCGCGAGAAATCGACGAAAGAAGCCCCTACGGTACTCTCGATTGCATCGAATGTATCCGATGACCGGGAGGTTTGCGAGACGGATGCCCTGCGCGCAACGGCTGCCTCGGCTGCGTCTTTGGTGAACACGCACCGGGCGTTTGGCGCGACCAGTCCCTGGTTGCGGGCGCGGTCGATGGCATACCGGAGCTCGGTTCGGCCGATGTATCCGACCAGAGTCTTGGAAGTGCGGTCCTCCACGACAGGGAAGCCTTGGAATTTGTTGTCGGTGAGGAGATGCTCTGCTTCGCGCACGGGGAAATCCGATGCTGGTACTGAGAGTGGGCCTGTGGTCATTGCGTGGGATACAGGCACGTTGAAGACGTGTTCTTCCTTGTTGTCTCAGGAATGGGAACCCGTTGAACCAAATCATTCGATCGGCGATACCGCCACTGCCGAATCGATCGCCAACGGCTTTGGTGACGCCTACCACGATCTGTACAAGAATAGTCAGCATGGTTAAATGGAATGATGGCATTTAGGATGAAGACTTACCATGGTCGGTAGGATATAAGTCAGTGCGCCAGTCAACTCGAACATGATGACCGTTACAGAAATAGTCAGATGCATGATCCCACTGAGGGCTGCCCCAGCTCCCAGAAACGCGTATGTCCCCGGTGTAATGCAAGGAACATCTGGCTCACACGAAGCGAAGAATGCCGATTGGGGGAACGATTCATGTAATGCCTGTACCATGATTCCAATCATGCGGCCAAATGAAGCCCCGACGGCCATGGATGGCACGAAGATACCCGCTGGCACCTTGCATCCGTAGGAAATAATCACCAAACCAGTGCGAAGAACGGTCGCAATAGCTAATGAGAAGACCATCGGCCATCGGTTCTTGGACCTGCAATGAGTTAATAGTGTGCTTTCATGTATATGGAGGGGTATATTCGTACTCGCATAGTCCATTATAGTCATGGCCACCCTCGCATTCGCGGAATAAGATCTCCATCATTGCCGTCATGTTGATCTTTAGAAACATGTTGGGGTAGCACAGTATCGCAGTGAGTGCTGCAAGGACAACCGACTCGGTTATAGGCCACTGTGAGAGGTATTTCTTGCGGAATGCGGCCACTCGAAGGTTCCATTTCATTACGAATGCACCGTAAAGTCCACCGAAGACACCGATGCCAATAAAGAAGATGAACTCGAAAAAGTGCCATGTGCGATCATACTCCACTTGGAACATGACCAATTGGCCAGTTCGGAAAGGATTGACGGCCTGGAATGGATCAGATATGGGCCAAAATCGATCGACAATATGGGAAACGTACCGCTAGCACACTAGTTGCCACCAACGCACAGAAATAGCTGCGCCAAAGAGTCTTCAGGGGGAAATAGCTTGCCATTTCCTATCGACTGTCAGCTTTAATCATACGAACTTCCGCGACATTGAACTCACCTCCAGGGAGAACAGCACGCCTCCAATTGGACTGCCAAAAGCGACAGCCACACCAGCTGCCGCTGAGGCAGTCAAGATTTCTTCTCGTCTTTGATGCATTTTGCTTGTATTTACCAAAGAACCGCGATATCACGTTTCCGGTACACACAGCAAAATGCACGCTAGGCCCTCTTTTCCAACAGACAAGCCCGATGCAATAGCTAGTGGAAGGGCAATTGACTTGATTAGAAGAGTCCAGGCGCCTAAGAAGCCCTTCATGACGAAGCCAGCAATAATGCATTTGATCTCTGAGATACCAGAGCCTGCGGCGTACGGCGCAAATGATTTGACGAGGACTGCGGCGATGGATGAAAGTAACAACTATCTCCCAGGTTAGCCTATGAGTTCAAGGTTTCTCGAGTATTAGCCACACGTCTTACCGCGCCAAAGAAATAGCAAACATAATTTAACAACCACCATGAAGTCCAATGTTTCCACTCTGGGCAGCCTATCAAGGAAAAGGGTTAGTTTACAAGAAGCGCTGTACAACCTACAGAACATACCATTCTCGGCGCCCCAGCAGCAGAACGACTCATTGAGGTAGAATGCGGTAGTACAGTGGCCCAGCTTAATATCAGAGAGCCATTCCGTGATGATATTGAGCACCGCCGAGTTCAATCCGATTGCCATGCCCACAAGCGTAACCACAAGCCATGCTTGGCCTGCGTCGTATGACTCGTACATTTTCCGTCTCCAGCCAAAGATGCCTTCCTGATCCCAAAACCCAGTGCCACTGCGCCGTTTCGCGCGCCGCCGTGACTGCTCATAGACTGCATCTTGGACCCAGTCTATTGTGGTAAAATCTTCATATCGCTTGATCCCACTGATCTCTTCTGGAATGGCGGGTGCTTCTTGGTTGTCGGAATCGGCTCGTGGGTCCATGGGGGAGGGAATAGAACGACCGGATGGCAATCGCGAGCTGCGCCGCTCCCTTGAAACTGAAACAGACCTGTCAAAGGTCGGGGAGGGGCGTGTAGAGGTCATAACATTGATCGAGGGGGTAGGGTCAGCATAGTCGATTTAAGGTTGAGTCGATGATCTGTGTCCTCGATGGACGCCGCCCTCTTCGGTTTGAGAAAACGAACTCTCGAATTCGAAGTCGGATCCCCCTGGATTGCTTCTTCAACGCCCTATAATCAACAATTCAGAAGAAGGGGGTAAATGGAGCTCTCAGAGGTAGATGATGTGACAAAGCGAAGTCGCCAAGTATCCATGGATCGATAACGGAGAGCCTCCTGAGATAACGCGGCCACGCGTTTTACTCTTTCTCGACTCCACGCTGGCTACCACTTGCTTCTACAACGGGAATATCTGACTGGCGCAAGCTGGAAATTGTATACTTTTGTCCTGCCAACACTTTGTCTCACCAAAATTAAACACCATGGCTCCAAAGACTGTGGGAGAGCCGGATGAGATCACCGGACAGAGCGCACTTCCGAGTAAGCCCCAGACACTACTATTACTTTGAATTGGCATACTAACAGGTTCCTATAGTTGCTCGAATTAAGAAGATTATTCAGTTGGACGAGGATATCGTACAATGCTCGAACAACGCGACCTTCGTCATCGCAATGGCTACCGTACGCCACACCTTCGAACATACCTGGAACACCGACTAATGCTAGATCTAGGAGATGTTCATCCAATACCTTGCTGAGCAAGGGCACAACGTGGTCAAATCCGAGCGAAAACCACGCAAGACTGTCCAGTACAAAGATCTTGGTTGGTTACGCCTATCACGTCTACAGTTGGCAAGAGGACAGACAGCATGCTAACGTGCAATAGCTTCGGCGGTATCACACACCGACAATCTCGAGTTCCTTTCCGACGTGATCCCTAAGACTACGACCTACAAACAATTCAAGGAGAAGAAGGCGAAGGATGCGGCGAATCAAGGCGCCATGGAGAAGGGCCAACGTACTCTCAATGGTACCGGTGCACCTCCAGCACCAGCAAATGGCACAGGTACAGGAGATGCCACCCCACAAAGAGAAGATTCAAAGACAACATCTCCGTCGGTTCCTCGGCCTATGGTCCCTGTAAGTGCGTTGATTGCGGACCGGACAGACGAGCCCATGGCAACCCATGACCATGATGTGGAAATGCAAGATTAATCGCGCTATATTGTTCCCTTTTTGTTGAACCTTGTTGTTTGCATAGGAGTTTTTCTGATAATGGGTTTCTCTGCGCATTGGATTTGGGATTTGTATGGTCGCATTGGGTCGGGTTAGATATTAACAAAACAGAAAATGAGATAGTATACAATTGACGGGTCAAATTTAAGCAGAAATATCAATAATTAATCAATATCACTTATAGAAATCATATTCCAATTGTATAAAAGTTGTAGAATGTTTTCTTGTTAGGGAGTGAACGGGAATTGATCAGCCAATGACAGGCCCCGTGATTCCGATCGCTAGCGAAAGCTCTGGCTCCAACTTCAACTTCCGACTTCATCCACCCTCTATCCTCACTTCGCTCTCCACAACTCGCGGCTCAATTCCCTCCGTGGTCAATTGCCCTCACAATGTCGCTCTCCTCCGCTTCCAGCACTCTGCTGCGCACCGTCGCTCGGCAGCAGCTGCCCACCTCCCGCGCCGCCGTCACCTCCTGCCAGCGGAGGGGAGTTGCCGATGCGAAGTCGTCCTTCGAATCTCCCTTCGCCAGCGCTAACGAGAGTGGCTCGACCCTGAAGATCCCCAACTTCAGCAAGTACAAGTCCAACAGCTCGCCTCGCTCCAACCAGGTCTTCTCCTACTTCATGGCCGGCTCCCTCGGTCTGGCGTCCGCTGTCGGTGCCAAGGCTACTGTCCAGGGTAGGTTTTTGTGAAATCTTCGAATCCGAAACGAGAACAGCACTGGCATGGAAATAAAGCGATTAAACAAGATTCTTGAACAATCGGGGAAATTCGGGCGACTTTGAACAGACAACTGATGCTATTCTTTCTCTCCAGATTTCCTGGTCAACATGTCCGCCTCCGCCGATGTCCTGGCCCAGGCCAAGGTTGAGATCGCTCTCGGTGCCATTCCTGAGGGCAAGAACGTACGTGTTTCTATTCGCTACCTCACCCGACCGATTTCAGTACCCAGTATCCCTATCTAACACCCTTTCCAACAGGTCATCATCAAGTGGCGTGGTAAGCCCGTCTTCATCCGTCACCGCACCCAGTCCGAGATCGATGAGGCCCGTGGATCCAAGTGGGAGGGTCTCCGTGACCCCCAGCCCGATGAGGACCGTGTCCAGCGTCCCGAGTGGCTCGTCATGCTCGGTAAGTGAACATGCTTCGCAAACAACATCCCCGCAACTTTCTAACTCTCCTTCCTCTACAGGTGTTTGCACCCACTTGGGTTGTGTCCCCATCGGTGAGGCCGGTGACTACGGCGGCTGGTTCTGCCCCTGCCACGGTTCTCACTACGATATCTCCGGCCGTATTCGCAAGGGTCCCGCCCCTCTGAACTTGGAGGTTCCCACCTACAGCTTCCCCGAGGATGAGACCCTGGTTATCGGTTAAACGAATTTGACACCCTTTTCTTGAATGCCGCCAATGGGCGGATTGTCTCATTAGAAGTGTGGATTGGATAAGATGGATTGTGTGTCCTATCTATCTGTGTATGTGCTTGTGTGTGTTTTTCCCTTTTTTTTAGACAGAGCGGCCGTGTGTCTTGTCAAGATTAAGAGACCTGTGTTTTAATATGGACAAAAAAATGAGCCTCTTTCTTCCTTTGTCCCTATCTTCCTGGATCTTGATCTTTCTCCGTGGCAAACACACGAGCTGTGGAGTTCAGAGAATGTCCTATGGTCTCCTTGAGTACATATGTTCTTTATTTAGTGTATCACCTAGTCGTGTTATTTCCTTTGTTCTACAGCATCATATTTTCCTTGTAAAAGCAACAATCAACACCAATGATTCGCTATTCAAAGATATACTCGCTTTACAACTTGGAATACTCCAGTAGTCATACACTATATTCGATTCCAAGGCTATATCCAACTGCTTATCTATTCTTCTCAATTGTATGTACAAGTATAACCACCCCAACCAAAAGGGTCAAATGAGACCAGGCATGAAACAGGACATGCTGAGTTCCCGCTGGCAATGCACTATAACATGCTCAAATGAAACAATTCTTTACCGAGATCCTATCAGGGCGAATAGTAGGCCCGTCACAGCTGCACCAGCTGCAGCACTCTGGAGAGCCACAGTGGTGAGATCGAACTGGGAGACAGCAATGCTGCGATCACTGAAGAACTCGCTAGCCACCTGCCTCCAGTACTCGAGCGACAAGACCGGCGAAGTAATATTCGAGAGACGGGTCTGAAGAGACTGGGCATTAGCGTCAGCCACCATAACACTAGACCCCGTAGCGGACGCATCCATCTCCGTCGCAGTAAGCTCCGGCTCAATCAAACGAGGAGCGGTCTCAATTATGTTCTCATCGGTAGAATCAATAACCTCAGGGAGGATAGTAGTATTCGGCAGCGCCGAGGCCGAAGCAGCGTTCTCAGCAAACATAGCCCGGTTCAAGACCTTCTCTTTCTCCAATGCTTCAACGACCTTATCCTCGAAACCCTTGACGAGTCGCTTCCGACGCCACGGCTCCACGAGAATCTGGAAGACAAGGAATAGCAGGACGTTCACGCCCATCAAACCCCATGTTCCCCATGTCGACATACGGCGGATCTTATCAGACCAGACTTGCTCCTCGTGGTATCGCGAGAGGATGCTCTTGCTCAGTTGCGCGGCTGCCTCTTCGGCTTCGCGCTCTGCGGCTGACAGAGCCTGGGATGTCTCGGTCTCGGCGACCTCGTTTGTGTGGTCGTTGCGGTAGAGGAGGGTGAATCGCTCCAGGTCTGTTGAGGACCAGGCGTGCTTGCGTTGGAGGAGCTCGTTTACTTCGCGTTGGGAGGTCGAGCGGCGGTTGATCGCTGCGGAGTATTCTTCTTTCGCTTCCTTGACCTTTGTTCGGGCGGTGCGGAGTCGGTTTTCTGGATAATTGGGATTAGTGTCTCGGATTTCGTGGATCGGTTTCGACGGTGCTATGCTACATACCGTGGAACTGGATATCGTTCTTCAGAGCTTCGATACTGGAGTATCCAGTCAGGTCATTTAAACGCTGACCCGCTACGAAAACATTGGACTGCAGATTGTCCATCACTGTGCTGAACTGCTTGGACCATTTTGACCGACGGCTTTCCAAGTACGAGGGCAAGCCTCCGCTCGTCGTGCTAGCGGTACTAGCATCTCCATCCTGCGAGACTGGCTGTTCTTTTTCATTCTCTTTTGTTTGTGGTTGTGTTTGTGTGGTGTTCTGATTGGTCTCTGTGGCAGGAGGCACCGAATCGAGAGAACTGCCCGCCTCCACGCCCGGGATCGGAGCCGGGTCGCGCGAGGCGAGCTCCAGGTCGGCCAGTTCTTTCTCTTTCTCCCTGATTAACCTCTCGGTATCAGCGGAGAACTTCTCTCTGTCATTGAAGGCCGAAAATATGCCTGGCTGTCGGCGGAATTGACATTGTACGCAGGCGGAGAAGCTCCGCGGAGTCGGTCTGACGGAGAATGCAGGCGGATGTGCGCTCGCACGGGGAGGAGGTGTTTGTGAGTTGGAGACTTGACCGGAGCGATTGTCTAAGCAGCTGTGGCATAGACTGCATGGCCAAAACAAGGGCCACGGGCTTGTGGCAGGAAGTGGTGGTGGTGCAAAGAATGACCGGGTGAGGATCATCTCGGGACGGAACTTGGCCTCGGATAGCCTTATCAGATTGCTTTAGATGGGTCAATGTAGAAGCTTCTATGGATATAACCTTGAAAATGTTGTGTTTTTACTACTTTACTACATATCTGGTCAATTGTATTAAGGTAATGTTCTGGCTTATTAGCGAAACAGCTTTTCCTCCATAGTTTTGGCTACAAAATACATGCCATGAGGACAACAAGAGCCAAAATATTGAGGCTCTGGTCACATACCCTCCGAACAACATACGTACTTAGATACTGAGATAATTTTATGTTTTCCAACCATCCATAGCCCTGCTGAGTATGCTCGGAGGATTAGATCTCCGGAACAGTATTGTCGCTAAAAGAGGGCCCCAATTGAATCCTGGGGATCAACAGTCGAGTTTACTAGGTCTATAAACATGTTATAGTCATGTGTATGTGACAGATAGGTTATAAGCTGGTGGGGCACTGGCTTCGGGGAGGAAATGATATAGCTAAGGCTAGACTACATCTAACGATCTATAACTATGAATAATGCCAGAGATAGATATTGTTCAAGTGAGCGAATATGTGCAACGACATTATACTACCCTAGTACCGTTTACAATTCCAAATCCAAGAGAAACAAATCCAGTACAAAATGCAAATTTATTCCCAAAGCTGATAATCCGGGAAATACTTGTCATGAATCCTGCGAGCATACTCTACCAAAGCTGGGTAACTGTTCACAATCTGTTTGGTTTCCGGGGCCCTTTTGAAAAGTCAGCACGATCTATCGTCAGGTGTACTTATGTACTTACGCTCCACAGACCAGCGCCGACACGACAAAGCCAAACAGCACAGCATCGGCCTCAGTGGGGGCATCGCCACCCCATACCCAGAACGGTCCCTCCCGATCCCGATGCTGGGCGTGCGCGGCCGATACAAGCGAGTTGACAGATTCCCAGATTTCTTGCCGGAACGTGGCGATTTCTTGGGCGGAAAAGCCGCCCGTTCCTTGACCCTGCAGGTTGCGGACGTTCTTCTTGTAGATTATGTTGCCGACAATCACCTGCACAGGCCAAGGGATGCTGGCCAGAATCTTGGAGCGCATGGCGTAGTAGTTTACGACCCACCGCTCGTGGCCCTAGTTTAGTTGTAGGCTTTAGTATTGATCCCGAGTGTGTACTGTGTTGGAATGTGAATGGGGCTCGTATTACCTGGTAGAAATAGAGCTTATCCTCGAGCAGGGCCTTGAGGGAAAGGTCCTGGGCTTTCTCTACGGGGGAGAGTCTGCAATTGAGATCCTCCAGATATCCAGACTCAATGAATGTCTTTGCAATCAGGGTGGAGTCGGAGATAGATTGAGACTGGCCATCGCGCTCGAGTGTGATGTAGGGCAGCTTGCCCCTAGGAGATTTTAGGGGTGAGCCTACGTCGACATTGTAGCTAATATTGCCGAAGCGCAGGCGGGCCTCGAGCTTAGTGACAAACGGTGACCAGGTGTAGCAGCCTTTTTCAGGGAAGCCCCGAAAAACAGTAATGGCGGGGCCTGACTTGAGGGACACAGCCATTATGGGCGATCGATGTGTGATGAGGGCTGAGGGATGACTGTGGTGGGAGATTGTGCTCTTGGGCATGGATAAAGAAGCGCGAGAGGCAGAGAGAGATTTAGGAAATACAAAGCGACCACGTGCACTGCATTGGAGCCTAGACAAAGAACGTAAAACGCGGCCTAGAACAGGCAGAGAATCATAATAGCCGGAGAGAAACACCGTGCACTTGCATACGTCTATCTTGAATACGTATATGCTAAGGCCAAGATAGCTGGTGGCTGACAGAGGTTTAGTCTCCGTCCAATCGGTCTTTGGCGAGCCCAACCGGCCACGGCATCTGCGGCTTTTGGCCCTCCAAAAGAGCCTCATTACTGATGCTGTCAGATTGTCCTGGCCACTAAGATTATTCTAAGGATCTATATCCTAGGTATCCTAGGAAGGTATGACCAGCTCACCCTATGCTGTTACCTACTATACCGTCAATGTTTTACATATTTCATTCTTCTATATCTTTTCACATCTTCTTCTCTTCACATATATACTATCACCTCTCTTCTTAACCTTACACCATTCATCTATATCACCCGGGCAACAAGCCCATTTTAGGCCTAGTGCTCTTCAGTACTAGTTGCCATTATCAAATCCTTAAACCGGACATCCCTCATACCAATGTCCTCATCTTCTTGTTCTATACATCCACACTTATTTACAACGGTTCAGAGCCATTCCTAGCAGGTATAGTTGGTATGGTATCCAGGATAAACACCTGATGCCTCATAACTGATTTAGTAAGGGTATAGGCCATCCAGGTTGATGAGTCTGCCGACCAACCGTCCTTCCAATCATCCAAATGTCGGTGACTACAATAACCGAGTTGTCAACTCAATTATTGCTCAAAGGTAACTCAGCCGAGTGTGATATCAGGCTCTCCCCGGGACCAAACGCGTTCTCGAATCAACCACCCAGCACCCCTAGACCTGAGAACCACGATCAAATCACTGAATCAGTCCATTAAAGAGATGAAGGCGCTTCTTTTTATACCTCAAAAGCCGAGGTCGACAAAGGAGAAGATGGATGGCTGCCAGATTCTGCCGGGGTGAGTGTGAGGCTGCGCTAAAGTGTATTCGACAATTCGAAAAGGAGCGGGATGCATATGCAAAAATGCTCAACAATGGAGCATACTACCTCGGACATGTCGTTGCCGGAAGCGGCATGAATCGCACCCGACTCGATGGGGACAAGCGTCGAGTGCCCGTTGAATCAGTCAACCAAACCACAAGCATGATTCGGAACTACTGCAGACATATCCAGATAGCTAGCTCAAAATCCTCGCAACAACGAGGCACACGCTTACAAGGTCATCGAGTTTACATCGCTTCAAGCCTAAGATTTGGCACTTAGGAACCGTGAAATACCAGTGCTTCTCTTGCGATGATGTCGGTAAGTCCAAGACTTCCCCAGAAAGCACTGCGCACGGTGCTCACAATCCTAGATGCCATTACACGGAAGCTCGCAACAACCTGATATGCAGCGTGGCCAGAAGCATCGGTGCGAGTCACATCAGCGGACCTGGCCCGTACCGGAGTCGCAGCTTCTGACTGGCGAAATGGGAGAACTGCCTGGAATGAACGATGATATTTCTGATGCTGCCAGCTCTATCGTTGGTGACAATATCATATCTCCGCTCTTGAACATGATAGCAACCCAACATCTCTTGATCCCCGAACGAAAGAGCAGATATAGTATTACGGTCATGTCAATGCAATAGAACGCCAGGGCTTTTTCTCTGTCTCAAAAACATCGAGATTCCAGCCAGCAACAGCTCATCAACCATGTCATCACCCCGCCCAACGCTCAAGGCCTTTACCGATGTTGTACCTGCTCGGTACATACGTATGTACAGAATCCATACCTATCTCTATAACTATATAGTCCTACTAATCTTAGTACTGCTAGCAATTGAGGCGCGTATGACAGCGCGACAGGCGTGCTAAGATTGTACACTATACCCGTTTCGGATTCCTGATTAATGAGGAGATCTGAAAAAAATATGGTCAGACGAGCAGAACTCCATAAGAGCAGTATCCATACGCGATGACTGAAGCTCCCAGGCCCAAAAGGTCATCCATGAAGCCAATGTGAACGCCAACCACAGCAGAACAGCCGTGCGTGACTTCTTCCTGACGCCCCCAAACCGGAATCACCTAGTTCGGTCAAGTCGGTTCAATCAGGCTCGCGAGTGTGACATACAAGTAACCTCACTATGTCATCCAATACAAATATGAATTTACCTCAACCCTCTCTATCAACTAATATCCTATGGTTTTTGCTATCGGCGGATATCGGAGATGGAACTGTGTTCGATGTGACCCCAGAGGTAGCAGAGCAAGAAGCTGAACATTCCCTAACGACTTCCCTCTTCGCCTCCCTCTAGTAGTCGCCTTATCAAAACCAAGACCATACGCATATCAAATCGAGAGACATCTCAGGTAAAAAAAATAAGTGAGAATAGGGCATCCTACCTCATCTGTATAGGGGATTAGTGCTATTCTTGGAGTCCAAGTTTAGCCATAATATCTCCAGGTATGGAGGCTTGACATTGTACATGTATGTTTGAGACAGCCAGTATGGTTGGCTATTGTTGAGACAGAGCATCTGCCTTGGTACCTATTTTGTCCAAGTCCGGCGCAACCGAGGCAACATAATGCACTAGTGATGCTCGGTGACAATGAGAGGCAGATTCTACTTCGCCATCCTGTCTTTTGGTCTGGATATAATTCATCCGGATGGGTATGGGGGCGGGTCCGGGAGTTTCGCTGACGTGTGGAACTGAAGCTGTCAATGTGGTCCAGGTCTTCCAGGGTGGTGTACGCTACTAAAAATATTGGACATCTCATGCAAGGTCAAAAGGTGTGACGCGCAAAAAAAAGGCTCCGACGCGGATCGAACGCGTGATCCCCCCCGTTGCTGTGGTCGAAGACCTACAAGCGGGATGCCCTAACCACTAGGCCACGAAGCCGGTTTTGGACAGTTTCTGACTTTCGTTCTCTTATATTACTAAAAGGCTACAAGACACTCGATCCCTTCTGCTAGTAGCTACCAAGGTATCGTATATAATTATTGATAATATGAGACATCTTGCCGTGTACTCACACTACTTTTTTAGAACAACCCCTGGAGAGATGGGATATATCCGTCGTCGAGATCATCTTTAGTCTCTCTCTCTTCCCTAAACTCTATTCCGATTGACAGTCTACAAGAAGTCCCAAAACATATAGCAACTTGTCAACATGGAAATTGTTCAGGTGGGGTGTGTTGAATTTTATATCTAGGACTTTTCAGCCAAAGGTCAAGTTACCTAGGTAGCGCTAAATGCCTCCAAGGCTAGGATAAAAATTACTGGTATAGTATCACGCACCTAGGGCCTTACAGAACATACAATCGAAGAAGATACACATAAGTGAACAAAATCAAGGAAATCAGAATTACATAGAACATTCCTTCGTCAAATCATAACATAACAATGCAGTTCTCAAGAAGTGCGTGTACAAGAACAGCAAAGCGGAGGGGTATGGATAGTACAACCGGGCGGGGAACAGAGTGACCGATGAGACAATGGCAAGCCGAGGCCGCCGCCCACAAGCAAAGCCAACGAGTCCAGCCTCATTCTCATTCGTGACTCTGCACCTTATTGTCGCCCTTCACAGCCTCGGCATAAGTGGGTGGCGGCGGTGCACTGCTGCTCCCAGCATGTCCACTTTCTTCAGTCTGGTTGTGTGGCTTGTGCGCCGGAGGAGGCGCCTGCTGGCCTTGGTTATCGACTGTGCCATATCCGCGCTGGGGCTGGCGCGAAACGTAGTAGTAGGTAACGGTGCCGTTCTCCAGATCGCGACGCCGACTCCCGCCACCGGGGATGGGCTCGTAGGCTACGTCGTCATCGTATGGTTCCGGATACTTGAGGATGATGTACCATGCATGGATGAGACCCGGGAAGAAGCAGAGTAGGGTGAGGGTTATGTTGATGATCGAGTCTGCAGTGCAGAACCCAGCCTTGACCCAGACTGTTGATGCGGGGGTTTGGTTAGCATTGCACAGAGTGTAGGTGTATTGGTCTGCGGGTTTGGACTTACCTGCGATAGGTGGGAAGAAGACAGCGAGTACCGCTAGGAAAATGTCGGAGCTGCACATGGCTCACGGTGTCAGTGAGATCTTATAGAAAATGTGAGTTGTATCAAAGTAGACTGGAAATGTGTGGCAATGGTTAGAGGTTTTCCACAGGTTGGATGAGTCGCAGATTGTCTGACGGCAGCCTGGTCCAGATCAGATGATGTCAATGGTCACATGACTATAATTTGCCAAGCCCTACATTGACATGAACGGACCTCGGGAGTAGGTACGGAGTACATAAGTAATATTATATGACTTTCTACAATATATTCTACTTCAAAGCAAGGTGTCCATATTACTGATTTGATGATCTATAGAAATCAGACTTATCAGATGTCTGCCCAAGCGGGTTTGATTTAACACGTCTTATGTAAGTACCTGGTACTTGTGTCTGCCGGGTACCTGCTGCTTGTTGATTGGTACCCTGTACTCCGTATTCCCCCGTACCGGAGTCCAAATTGGTCCCTCGCATTCCCAACCGATACCTCACATACGTTGAAATGTGCTACATCTATTGGCAAATTCTGTGCAGGACGCAAGGGAATCCGGGAAATAAAATTGAAGCTTGTTGTAATACAACATAGTATTTCCGAGTTTTCGATTGTCTCCAGACGGCTGGTGATAGCGATCGTCCTGTCTGAGCCGCGAACGGGTCATTAGCGAGGTGAAGAGAGGGACCGGTCAGAATTTGACAAACGGCCATTGCCAATCAGAATTGACTTTGATAGTTGTCGTTGTATTTTATGCAAATATACAAAGTACAGGATGTAGAGGATTTCAGTCCCAATTGAACGTTGATACCTAAATGAGTCCAAACAAAGAGAAAATAAAAAGGTAAACAACGGAACAATTTCCCCCTTTTTATATTAATTGTCTTCTACAAGTCCCTCTATCTGGATCAAGATCGAGTTTAGCGTGAACCTGTACAGTTTATTCCGTATGCCTCTCCGTGTTTCATAATTGCCCTTTTTTCCCAGCAGTTCATCTCCCTGGCCCCCCCTGTTACCCACAAGCCCAGACCGTCGGTCTAATCTTGTCTTTCCATTCTTAGAACTTCATCTTGTCATCTCTTTTTCCCATTTCGAATTCAGGCCTACGGGGCTCGGTTGACCTTTCCTTCCGGGCAGAACCCCGAGTCACTCGTTTACCTGCTTTTCACGCGTTTTTCTTCTGAGTTTCGGCCTGGGGTCGACGATTTTATCTTCTCTTCGAATATCCGAGTCCTGGAACATTCTCGATCGCAATTGACACATTCCGCGGATATAACCCAAAGGGGTTCATCTATAAGGACCGCCAAATTCGTCCGGCATGTCGAACTGCATTTCCCTCTCGGGGTCAAGTGCCTGTCCTGCCTGGAGTAGCGCGTCAATTTCGACCAGTTCCAGCCTATATGCGAGCTTGTGAGTGGGAACACGCCCAATTAGGCATGGAGAAAATACTTGCTGACAATGCGCTGTTAGCCCATTCCTTGAAAACATATCGAATGTGACGGATTTCGATAATTCATTAAATGACTATGTCCGTGGGTCATATATCTCGACCAAGTATGTGTTGACACCAATAGACCGGGAAAAGAGTCACTAACAGGCACTCCCAGATATGATGATTTACTGGGATGCCAAGGCATCAATTCAAGCGCGCCCAACAACTACTATGCTCAGTATACAACCAGTGTTTTGTGCAGCAGTGTCGTGCAAAGCTCCATATCAGACTGCAAACTTTCCGGAGATGACTCCCTACCAATTTGCGTCGACACATGTGCACTTTGGGCCCGGAGTGAACAGGAGACCATGGCAAATACAGACTTATGCGGCGAGACCGACAAGAATTACACGGACCTGATCTACGCCGAATTGACCATCTGCGAAAAACCATCCGACGCCCTCTCTGGAGATTGTGTCAAAGGAGCTGCGAATGAGCCGGACAACTGTGGCTTTGGAACGAATACCATTGGTCTCTGCACTTTTTGTGCGAACGGCACCGATAGCTGCTGCACAAAATCCAACGCCACAAGCCGCTGCGACGGTGTCCCAATACCGACTGCTACTCTACCACCTCTCACGCCCTTGCCTTCCGCCACTGGAGATTCTAGCGATGGCTTGTCGGGCGGCGCAATTGCTGGTATCGTAATTGGCTCTGTTGTAGGAGCTGCCATTCTAGGTGCACTCGCCTTCTTTTGCATTTTCATGCGCCGCCGCCGCCGGACTCAGAATGACGCGCTCAACCAACCAAACCCACAACGAAAGGGTGGATCGCCATCGACGCAACAGCCCCCAAGCCCAACGTCGTACAATATGGTCCCAGGAGGCCGAGTCACACGGATGTCTGCGCTGCGCGAAATGCCCAGTACATCATCGCCCGCCTATTCGCGTACCTCTGCAGCGATGTACGGAGGCGGAGCCAAGTACAGCGACACATCAGACTCAGAAGGCATGGGCGCTAGTCCAGGAGCTATGTCGAAGAGAATCCCACCAGTAACAGGGAAACGCCATGGCTCACTCTCGAGTAGCTCGGTTCTGGCTGGACTAGAAAGCGACAGCTCGCCTCGTTCCGCCCCGACAAACCAATACTCTTCTCCCGAAGCAGTAACCAGTGGTCGAT